TGTGATCTCAGTGGTATTCCCCAACTATAGATTCCTTAGGGCCTCAGGGTTTAGGGTTTAGGGTTTAGGGTTTAGGGGCTTACTGTTCCTGGTAGGGTTTCTTGCGCATCGCTTTTTCTTGGAGATTGCATCGGGGATGAGAGGTGAGGGGACGTAGAGAGTTCGGGGTTCAGCCAGGCACTGCCAGGGTCTCCGAGACTTGAGATTTTCTAGTCCCGAACAGTGAACGTTCATGCGGCTGTTGGAGGCCCTAAGCCCTCAGGGGTTAAGGGTTCTGGGTTTAGGCTTAGGGTTTGGGCTTTAGGGTTTGCAGTTTAGGGTTTGTGGTTTAGGGTTGCTGAGTTGCTGAGTTGCTTTGTCAGTTTCAGTTTAGAGTTGCCATGTTCTTGTGCTCCCTGCCTCAGGCTACCCGTGTTCATAGACAGTTGCCCGAGCAAGAAAGGATATCTATCAGGGCCGGTGATTCAGAGCAACCCTTGTACTGATGCTTGCGATAGCCTGCAAGATAAGGGCTTGGCAAGGAACAGAAGAGCGACCACAAACTTGTTTATTTCGACGGCTGGTTTCACAACACGCATACGCCAAACTCCTGCACAAATCCATAAACCCCGGAAGCTTGCAGCAAACGCTGAGCTTTGCCAGGCCTTTGGAAAGGGCTCTTGCGGAAAAGCTGCTTGCTCGCAATGTGGCTAGGGGTTTGGAGATTGTTCGATAGAGTGACATAGATATACAAATATCAAGCATGGAACTAAGTCTAGACATGTGGGCGGAGAATAAAGGCTGCAGAATCGAGGACGTTTACGCCGGAGGCCTCCATCTTTCCCTAAACCCTAAAGCCAAAAGGGGGTTCTCTTAGAATCTGGCTAGATGGGATCTATGAGCAAAAACGAGGGCGGGGAAGCTGTGGTGCCCAGCAGGTGACAATGGACAACAGAACCATTTTTAGGGGCTTAGGGTTTAGGGTTTAGGGTTTAGGGGTTTAGGGTTTAGGCTTTAGGGATGCTCTTGTGACGAGGGAGGCACAGGCAGGGTTGCACAGTGGTTATAGCATACGATGGTATACGACAGCATGCTGTACTCATTGTGACCTTGCAGATCATCTGGAAGCATCCCCGAATTCAAGCCGAGACCAACAACATGAACAAGGGTGATGAGGCTAAAGGGTAATACAGCATTGATGCCGAGGTTGATTTGCAGATATATGCAGTGAGCTGTAGCATTCTTTGCCTCAGATCGTCATACCGACCGATCTGCTGACAAGAACGGATCCTAGGCCGTAAGCCAAAAATCCACAACCTATGGCTTATAGCCAAGCCCCGAAACCCTATATAAGCATAAGTCTAAGACCCTGACGTGTTCAAATCCTGAACCGATATACTATGCAACACCTTGCAAATGCCTCGTAATTTCATATATACATCCTGCACAAGACGAAGGCGATGAGGAGTGGACGATGGAGGAACTTATGCAGGCGCACCCGGGTCAACGAAGTTGAGGCTCTTGAAGATTAAGGGTCTTTTATCTTCAAGGTTTAGGTCCGTAGTCGAGGATTTGTCCCGAAGCGATCTCAACACTACCTTAAGCCAACGAATGGGCTCATGTCAGATGCCCATGTTCGGGGGCAGGCTCATGGTGGTTGTCTTGCTGGTGGGTCAGGGTTTCGATCCTGCATCCGAGGGACATAATCGCCACCATGTAGCCATCCGCGTTGTAGATGTTGCCTGCTCGTCTTTGTCAGCATACTACAATTCCCTCGAGTGTCTTTATCAACACCACGGCCAGCGTGGTCAGAAGCATCATCGCCATCATGACTATGATCCTCCTCCTCTTCCTAAACTCTAAGTGCTAAGTTCTTACATTTAAATCATCAGGAAGATATTCGAGCAGAGGAGGTGTGCCTCTGCTGCCAAGATGTCACGTCGTGTCGACGGCTTGCTCGGGTTTCTGTCGTTCACAGATTGTTGGATGGGGTTCTGTATGGAAAGATTTGATGTTGTAAGATATAGGGTATTTCTATATATGTATGTTCATCAAAACTCATTGCGACCCCAAATGTTTCCTCATGTATGTTTTCTATAATCTCCACGCACGATGCAGGCACAACTTCTTGGAAAACTGCGAATGGCCAGCTTTCATTGGTGGGCGAGCTGTGTCGGGGAAAAGCTTGTTCCGCAAGAAGGACGCTGAATTCAAGTGTTCAGCGTCGGAGGGGCTTGCGTTCTACCCAGCCATGCAATCCTTTTTGCAGCAGCGGCTGCCTGGCATTGCCTCTCGCGAGTGCAGAGCAGCCATCCGAAGCTTCTTCCTCCTCTGTGAGGTCTTGGATGCACTGCAGCTCACCGCCACTGGCCGAGCTGAGGCCAACGGCCTCGAAGAGAAATTTTGCCGACACATGGCCCAGTACATCGCAGTATACTGAGCTAACAAAGTCCTCCCTAAGGCGCACTGCGCTGCACCTTCCGGACTCCTTGCGGCATCCTCCTGTAAACCCTGAGCTGGACCCAAAGCCGAGCTGTTTCAGGACATATATGAGGAAATCATGAGAAGGAACCTCCTAAAACAGGTAGGATCTTTTTTAGGGTTCAGGTAGTTAAACCCCAAGAAGGAGACCCGAAACCCTTAAACCCTAAACCCTGCAAGCCTAAACCCAAACCCCCTAAACCCTTAAACCCCCAAGACCCTAAACCCTTAAGACCTTAAGACCCTAAACCCTAAATCCTAAACCTAAGGTAAAAAAACCCTAAGCCCTAAAAACCTGAACCCTACACCCCTAAACCTCTAAACCTGAGGTAAACGCCCAAGACCCTGAACCCTTAAGACCTTTAAAACCCTAAATCCTAAACCTAAGGTAAACCCTCAACCGCCAATCTGCATCCTTCTGTCTGGTGCTGAGTAGGGAATGGGCGAATGGATCCCTATAACAGTCCCTAGTAGTCCTTCTAACCCATTCAAAACCCTAAACCCTAAACCCTAAACCTTAAGGTCCCTTTATTATAGTAGTCCCTATAACCCATTCCCACATTCCCCATTAAGCACCAAGCACTGTTGCGGAGGGCCTCACCGGCGCCCGCCTGGCGCGTGAGGGCGAGCCCCTCGTCGCGGCCATGCAGAACGCCAAGGCGAGCATAGGGGGGTTCAGGGGTTTAGGGCTTTAGGGTTTAGGGCTTTAGGCCTTTAGGGCTTTAGGGCTTTAGGGTTTCGGGTTATAGGGTTTTAAGTTTGGTTACTGTAAGTCTTAGGGTTGAAGTCTCCAGGAAAGCCCCCTAACGCACACACTAAACCCTAAACCCTAAACCCTAAACCCTAAACCCTAAACCCTAAACCCTAATCTTCTTGTTTTTCGATGCCTTCAGGACAACCAGAGCACGCACAAAAACATTCCCGACCCGACGGGTCGTTGGCTTCTGAGTCATCCCCGGCTGCTGTAGATCTTGGGGTTTATTGTTGACCCTAAACCCTAAACCCTAAACCCTAAACCGGGGGTTAGGGTTTAGCGCAGGTGCAGCCTCCACCCCAGTCTCTCCACACCTGAAGCTCTAATCACTCTAATCCTTTTTGTGGAAACCCTAAACCTTAAACCCTAAACTTTATAAAGCCCTAAACCCTAAACCCTAACGGTTCGGGGAAGACGTGGTGTAGCCAAAAAACAGTCGGACGATCTGAACCACCCCAAACCTGCCCATTCAAGCTAATGCATAAGAGAATCATAAGAATTTAGGGTTTAGGGTTTAGGGTTTAGGGTTTCAGAAGAAGCCACTACAACATGTATGTTGCGCACAGTTAAGGAAGTGGGACATCGTCAACTTGCAAGGTTTGCTGCTTTAAGTTTAGGGTTACATACTGTGTGTCAAAGGACTTTGGAGGTAGTTGTGTTGGGGCTTTTGCACAAGACTATGCATCAACCTGCGCCGCCAAACCCAACAAATCAATTATATAGAAGCTTAAATAGTTACCAATATTATTCCTGAGAGGTCTTGGTATATTTATACTATACAGGAGCCCAAAACCCCATTGAAATTATTAAGGCCCCTATATTAGGCTCTGGGGCACAACCCTGAATTTATTTCGGAGCCCACCCTTCCCAGACATGAAACCCCTCCGAAGCCACCAAGACCCTACACCCTAAACCCCTAAACCATACAGACCCTAAACCCCCAAGACCCTAAACCCTAAACCCCCCAGACCCTGCTCCCTAAAGCTTTAAGACCCCAAAGACCCTAAACCCTGAAGCCCCAAGACCCTGCTCCCTACACCCTTAAACCCTTAAGACCCTAAACCCCCCAAGACCCTGCTCCCTCGTAGGACTGCGCCGTGTCCCGGAAGCCGCTGAAGATCGCGATGCTCTCGTGGGAGCTGCTTGGAAGAATGGGTTGCGGCTTAGAGTTCAGGGTTTAGGGTTCAGGGTTTACGGGGCTTCTATAGGTCTAGGGTTTACGGGGCTTCTATAGGTTTAGGGTTTATAGGGTTTAGGGGGCTTCTATATAAGATCTCTGGAGGGGTTTAGCCTGCCTTTGGGATTCAGCGGTTTGGGGTTTGGGGTGGATGGCCTTTGGCATTCAGGAATTTGCCTGGGGTCTCCAATGTGTATTGTTTTTGCTATTTATGTTTATATGTTTAGTTTATTTTTTATGGTTGGAACACTATAACAGGTTACACACACACAGAAAGAAAGAACTGCGGTGGAGACTATAGGTACACTTGGGGCGCGTGTGGGTTTCTTCGGTAGATAGAGTTCCGCTAGGGTAAACTAAACTTTGGGTTGACAAACCTGGACCCGTCGGAGGATCCAGAATATAGGGTTTAGGGTTTAGGGTTTAGGGTATAGGGACCTTGATAACTACTTATTGGGGGTTCTTTATTATAACACCCCCAAACCCTATTCTAATTATTAAGGCTCCTACATCAAGTAGAATCCTGTGGACGGCGTTCCATCATTTTGTGGATGAAGATCGGGCTGCTCTCACAAGGGTCGTTTTTGATCTTGAGGGGGCCTAGGATGATCTGGACGTCTTTCGTGGGGTGGCGGATCCATGACACTGGCTGTTCCTGCGACCGTCTTCCTGCTGTTCCGTGTTCAGGGCTTGGGGTTTATAGGATGTCAAGCTTCAGGGTTCTTGGCTTCAAAGTTTGGGTTGGGGTTGAGGGTTTAGGGCTTAGGGTGCTTTGTTTCAGAGCTTGTGGTTCTGGGTTTGGGTCTGGTTTCTGTTTTGCCTGACTTGCTCGGTGTTTAGGGCCAGCCGTTTCAACACCACCATGCTCTTCTTAGGACCCTTCACACCATTGCTGTGGGTGGCGTCGCGCCGAGCTCAGCCATGAAAGCAAATTTTGGAATAATGTAGGGGCCTAAATACTAGATCCAACACTACACACTCTTTGAGTACCGCGGCTCCTTGTAGAAGGGGCCCAAATAGTTAGAATATGGTTTTGGAATCCATTATACTAGAACTAAAAATGTCATGGAATAATGAAGAAGACCAAGCAGTCACCAAGATTATTCCTCAGGGTTCCTCTATGTCCCCACACTAGGTCGGTTCTATGTTTCACCTAAACCCTTAAGGGAAGCCTTTCAAGCCCTACATCCTAAACCCTAAACCCCATTTACAAACAACTAAACCCTTGAAGGAACCCCTTTAAAGCCCTGAACCCTAAACCTTATTACATCCTAAACCCTAAACCCCATTTACAAACAACTAAACCCTTGAAGGAACCCCTTTAAAGCCCTGAACCCTAAACCTTATTATATATATATATATATATAAACCTAATCCCTTAAAGGATACCCTTTAAAGGAAGGGTTCATATCATCCCCGACACCTTTGTTGAACCCTCCCAGCCGAATGGCTCCAGTTTCAGCCCACCTAACTTACGGGGTTTCCTGTTCAGGGTTTAGGGGTTTAGGGGTTTAGGGGTTTAGGGTTTAGGGGTGTAGGGTTTAGGGCTCAGGATTTTGTCATTGGGGTTCTTGCGATCTGTGAACCTACCGTTTTGACAGGGAAAGCATGTGGCTTATTGCAAGCCCGTTCTACGGTTCATCTCTAGATATCACGGCCTAAATTGGAATGCTATCCCACGTAATATGTGCGTTCCGTAATGCTAACAAGTTATCTAGCTATTCAGACCCTTCTATCATCGCTGTTTTGGGGATCTCCTTCTGATCGGTATCTTAAGTTTCGGGCGTACCGTGACAAAGCCCTACCTTTTTTAGGATTATGAATGGGTGTCGGGTTTCGCGTTTCCGGCTTATGGTTTAGGGTTACGGTATTATTCAAGCCCTCTGTAACCCCGATATAGAGCCCTCCAAATGAAGGATTTGTGAGTTAGTTCGGGTTTGGCGTCCTGGGTAAAGCTTTAGGGTTTGTGTTTTAGGGGCCAGAACTGTATCACGCTTCATAAAATACCCCTGTGACAGCTCATCCTTTTCAAGACAAACACAAGTCAAACCAAATAAACTACAAGACCGGTTCAACAGTC